CAGCCACACTCTTGGTCGAATTTTTCGACTTAAACGGTGAGCAAAAAAATCCGATTCGCGATATTTTTAGAGCAATTAAATCTAGAATCATTTTGATACCAAAATGAGCCGAGCAATTAATTGCTTTAAGGTACTTTACTCTTGTACGCGAGCCAGCACAGCCACACCCTGGGTCGAATTTTTCGACTTAAACGGTGAGCAAAAAAATCGAGAATAGAGCAAAAAATTAGCAAAAAAATAGCCCTTCAAGAATATGTACTTGATTTTTCATTTGCTGCTTTTTTTCTTTGTGGCTGTGCTAACTTTGATCTTAAGCTAGCACAGCCATGGGTTTTAGCGAATCGGCTGGAGCAAAAAAATCGGGAATAGAGCAAAAAATTAGCAAAAAAATGTGGTATAGGTCGCGTTTGATTGTGCTGAAGTGGCTGTGCCAGCTTAATAGACGTGTTAAAAAATTCGTCGTAAGAAGTGCGAGAATCACTAGTCTAACTGTGAACGATAAAATGTTGAAATTAATGAACATAAAATAATTATGATAGTGATTCGAGTTATACAGCTCTCGTCGTGCATCAAGTTTTCTACTTATATACAAGATATCTGATACTTTCTAAAATTTTTGTAGTGTAATTGTAAAGAGTAGTAAATTTCATTCTTAGAAATTGACAATTGTGCCTTAGAAATTGACAATTTTTCAACACTGGCTTACCTGTGACAATTGAGCCACTGTTGAAAAAGAATCAATTGTTTCAATTGTCAATTTCTAAAAGTGAAAGTTCACTCTTTGTCATTCTTTAGAATTAGATTTTACTCCAAAGATTTTAGAAAATAGGTATTGTTATAAATTAACCACACTAGAAAACCTAAGGCAATAATATTACGTTAACTCTTTATCTTACATTTTTGTACGTGCTATGAGCTTTATGCTGAGCTATCTTTTCTTCATCACAACAATCGAGCGGATGCACGCTGATTTGCAGATCTTTATGAATTAATTTCTCATTAGTTATTATGAAAATTATAAAATGATAAAAAAAAACTGCTATTTGTTGCCTTAGATTTCCTGTTGTGATTGGCTAATCTGCTTACTGCTTACGTCTTACTGTCTTACATTTTTCTGGCTTTAAAGCGTCTACAATGAGATTTTGAGGTGTAAAACTTAAGCCTTAAGCCGTAAGACATTGACCAATCGTAGTGAGAAGAATAATTGTCTATAATTGGCCAATTTCTTACGACTTAAGGCTTAATGCTTAAATTTTGTAGACGCAATTTTACGCACCGATTATAGTTGTCACACGCACAGCGAAACATTAAGAAGAACGCGCTTCTAGCAACAGTCAGTAATGTTTAACGTTGGGCTGTCTTTTGCTGTTGAATCACACAAATAAACATGCAGTCGCACATAATTATTAATTAACTTCTTATTTTTTGCAAAAATCAAAAAATAATAAAAAACTTCTATTCGTTTTAACTTGCTTTATCTACGAGCGGTGTTATACATCTATTATAAGGTACCATGTATAAATAGTGACTTTAAACTTTTGTGGTCACCTGAAATCCAGAAGTCCTCAAAAAGGTGTGAGGCTTTATATTTCTAAGGTTTTTTTTAAACGGGACTTAAACTGCCATTTATCCGAAGTTTAAAATACCCTTTTTGCACCTTTAACCGCGTATTGTTCCTTGGACGTACAATGTTTAAAGTATGTTCAGTAATTTTTGTGATTTTAAAGAACAAAATATTTAAATATGGAAATCAATTAAAATGTTAGAGTCATTTTGTCCCCTGTGTGATCACGAAGGGTTAAATCAAAAACGGATTTATAGGGCAGAGAGTTTTGAAATGCTAATTGTATTTTTGTACTTCATAATTGAATTTTTGTAGAATGTGCAAATTGCAGTAATAATTTAATCTAAAAAAACCGATACATTAATTACTTCGGCTAACCTTTAGAATATTTTTCAACACAGTAGAAAACATGAGTGCGTAATATCCCCACATTGGAACTCGACCAATTAATAACATCATTTGCATCCAACTCAACAAGATTGCGATGCTGATAGAATGTAGCACCCAATACATGCAATGCCGAGACTTTATTTCTTCCTTTGAACACTTTACAAACTCGCCCGCTATCGATGTCACTAAGGATAGCATAGCGCATATAAGCGACAGCCACGTCTCGAGTTGTCTCAAATAATGCCTGGAATGTTTAGGAATATATGTCAAGTAAAAATCAATGGAAGAATCAAATTTTCATTATTCGTAGACGTATTTACTTAGGTTCTAATATAACTTGAATCGTATTGTGAAACAAAAGAATGCAAGAACAAATGGCTAGGATTCTTCGAGTCACCATGTGGTCAGCGTCATTATGTGCGAATATTATGGCGTAGACTGAGAGAGAAATAACGAAAAGAAAGTGTATAAGTATAAGAAGAAAGAAAAGTATCCTTAATCTCGCCCATTTTAGTCTGAGAAATGTCTCCACAAGTGGATGCTGTAATATTGCCAGTTGTCTTATATCCGAAGCTGCAGCTATAATGGCCGTGACCACTGCCATTTGCATCTGGTGCTTTGGAGCTAATATACCAAAGTCGACCGTGATCTTTAACAGACATTCCATTCATTAGAATTTGGTAAAAGTTACAGTAGTAGTATAAGAAATAGGATATCTGTATCTGTAAAGCGTCCTCTAATGGGAGAAGTAAAGCGATCCTTACGTTCTCATATTTTTCCAAAGGAGAATTATTGGTCGTTCGTACGCAAGAATCCAAGATATCTGTTAAAAAGGTCATTGGTCGCGAAATATGAGCGAATATAGCATCAACAGCGGTGACACCAGTCTTCGTCACCGCGGCTAAATTAGCTCCATGACTGATTAAAGCTTGTACACATTCGCGATGGCCCTGATAAGATGCTCTATGAAGAGCTGTACGATTGATCTAAGTAGATAAGAATAATATACAATTTTGTCTTGTAATTGCATTTGTTGTTCTCAAACTACAGTGTCTGACATAGTTAACCTGATCGCGCGTATCAATATCAATATTATGACATTGCATTGCTTCAAGTAGAACCATTAGTGTCTCGATACTCCCTGTACTCGTGACAATATGAAGAGGCATGCTTCCGGAGCTCTTGCATTTGTATGTTGGCCATGCACCATTTAACAGTAATATCTTCGTCGCGTCTGCACTGCCTAACATCGCCGCATGGTGCAAAGCAGTGGTACCTAGCAGAATTGAGCGTAATTATATTTATTATTAATTATATTTATATTCTTTTATAAATGACATGTAAATAACAATTTTTAGACTTCTTTTAGTGGTGACGGGTTTGTGATCAGATATAAACAAGGTATAAAGTATAGGGCTGGTGGCTTACTTCGACATTCGAACTTCGATGTTTCGAAACTTTTCAAAATGTTTAATATTTCTTCGAAGCTTCAAATAATTATAGGTACAATTATTAATTTAATATATTTAATAGTAACAAATATAAACAATAATCTTTATTCTAGACCGCATATGTGTAAGAACACAATCAATTAGTACCTAAGTAGCCTAAACGATCGAAGCTAGATCTTTAATGCTTAAAATAATTCAATCTTGAATCACTAAATATACTATATATGTACTCTTACATATATACCATATTTAATTACCAAATTTAATTACAGTTTTTTCCAACATATTAACATCTTTAGAATATAATGCCTAATTGAGCATCGAAATTGTTAGAAATTAATTTAATTCGCGAGGTTACTAAGGTAGTTTAATTGCGTTTATAGTCCAGAAAAAATTCGGCACGCAATTTGAAAAAGACTACAAATATGGTATATATGCAAGTACATATATAGTATTATATATTTAATGATTCAAGATTGAATTATTTTAAGCATTAAAAATCTAGCTTCGACCGTTTAGACTAGTAACGAATATATTTTCATTTTTTTATATTCGCACAAATATATATTTTTCGAAACTTCGAAGGTAGCATTAAAAATCTAGCTTCGACCGTTTAGGCTAGTAACGAATATATTTTCATTTTTTAAATTCGCACAAATATATATTTTTCGAAGCTTCGAAGATACCTTAAACTTTGACAGTTCGAAGTTAATTTCGAAAATTCGAATTCTTTCGAAGCTTCGAATCTTCAAAGTTAAAAATAACAGTCTTAGTAAGTATAAACCGCAACGATGATACAGTATGGTTTTATCGATATTGCATAACGCTCGATTGATTGACTAATACCTGTGTCCGGATGAATAATGTCAACCAACACCTTTGCGGCGACCAGGATCCTAACGATCTCGACGAACTTAGTCATCTCATTGAGATCATCGCGATTCACCGCGCTTCCTGCTAAGAGCAACGGGGTAATCAGACGCTCGTCTTTAACGTTTACATCCGCACCGCCTTCCACCAAAACGCGCACGACGTCTGCGTGATTATTTTTTACCGCCTCGTGCAATGGCGTTCTTCCCCAGCATACGGGTAACGGCAACTAAAACGTCGAAAAAAGAAGCGTTAATTTCCGTTTCTTTCTCTCTAAATTCTTTAGACTGAAATCTCACTCTGAAGAGTGAAAATTAAGTCGGTCTTAAAAAAAAGTAGCTCAATTTTCAATCTTAAAGAGTAAGATTTCAGTCTTCAGAGTGACAATTCACTCTAAAAGTTTTAGAGAGTTTACTTCAATGCAAATTTGCGAATTATTTTCGCGGTACGAACTTTCTTTCCCACCAGATAGGATTTTGTCAGCGAAGAATATGGGATGTCCTTAGTACACAAATAGATACCGACTTTGACATCGATGTATCCTCCGTGTTGAAGGAGCCACTTTGTCACGTCAGTATTACCGTTGTGTGCCGCGTAATAAAGAGCACATCTGCCAATTTTATCTATGCTGTTTATGTCAGCGCCTTTCTTGTAGAGTCGATTCAACAGATCTATATTGCCCTGCCACGCAGCTATCTGCAAGGCTGTCACTTGAAGGGTACCCACAGGACGCACATATCTATTTTCGCTATCACTCGTTAAAATTTCATCCGCTTTATCGAATTCCCCATTCTCGATCGCTAATATGAGCCCGATATGATCCGGATCATACTCTTGCATGGTGATTTTTCCGTTCTTTTGCTTCAACGGCATGAATTGATCTGTCCAAGACTCTCTAATGCTTGTGAGAAACTGACGCACAGTGCGCGTAATTAGCGAAAATCTAATCACCTCAGCCGGATGTGGTAAATATGATTAGTGTTTTTTATTTTGATACGATTTTATTTTAATATCACGTTAATTTGCATCGATAGCTTTGGTCAAAGTTATCGATATAAATTAACATGATATTACAATAAAATTCCGTAGTTTGTAAATAACTAATTAACTTGTAATTACACAGATTTTCGGATTTTCAACGTTTTCTGCTCTCGCAACTGTTATTAGCGGATAAAAATTTCATTATCTGTTAGAGCATCCATATAATATGCATATATACATATTATAAAAAGTAAAGACTGCAGTTGAATTTTTGAACGATGGCGAATAACTCTCGACCAGATATTTGTATAATCTCGTTAAAATAAATTCCAAAATTTACAGTGGCATTTCCCACATCGCCCTCTGGCTATGCTCTGGCGTTGCACGGTGTAGCTCCCCGACCCAAATTCCGATAATTAATTAATTTCGCGGGTATCGCGTTGCAGTTTTATGAGTAAATACCTTCGAAGCGAGTGCATTCCGTCGTTCGATACTTCGAACAGCTCCGTTATTCGCGCATAATCAAACTATCGATCTGGATACTCGTGAACCTTTGCGTCGCACAATTTTGATAACGAATTTGTTAAACAATAGCTAACGGAATTACTTCAGCCAAAGAAAGTAAGCGAACGTATTGAACGAAGCCTCAAGCATCAAGCTTCAAGCCTCTCCGTTATTGCTCGAATATCTGTATATGTACAAGGTGTCTTAAATTCTCCATTTCTCTCTTTTGCTTTCTTTTTATTTACTAACTTTATTTTTATTAATTTTTTCTTAGTAGATCTTTAATCAATGTTATTTATATTTCGATATTTTCTATTTAAACAAATTTTAATTAAAATGTGGATTTAAATAAAATGCAGAAAAAAGTTTGCTGAAGTATCTAAAAATTTAGGTAGATATAGATCTGAAAATAATTTTGTTGGACCATAATTATATTGGACACTCAAACCAGTTGCTAGAATGTCAAAACTTTTTGCGTTATTGTCCATTATATTTGAGAATCCTACATTATTATTTTGTTAGTTCTAACAAAATTATTTTCAAAGTTATATTTAGCTGAATTTTTAGATATTTCCAAATTATTCTTTCGCACATACGCAGACACGACAAGTGTCCGTACATGGAATTATATAACGATGAGCAGGTAACATTTGCACGATGCTTAAACACACGCGGCCGTGGTCAGGCTCTCGTGTATTCGTACAGCCGTTAGTCTTAACACACATTTACACGCTCAATCAACTGGAGAGTGTTGCGTTACCTTGCCAGGCTCTCAGGGCCAGTACGCTTCTGACCACGCTACTGAGAGCATCCTTCTGTTAGACGGACAACCTCGTTGGAGTAGAAGTCGGTTCTTCGACACGTAACGAGATGCCGAATTGTCCAAAGTGCGACAAGCCAGTGTATTTCGGTAAGATGACGATTATTATTGCAATATCGTTACAAAACATTGAAACCAGTACTATTTGAGTCGAGTGTTCGATACTGTCGAAGAATTGTACTTTGTACAATTGTTACCACAATTTAATCATCGTGAGCAAAAGTCATTTTACATGTCCGTAGTATTAAAAGCTGTCGAAATAAAATATATCTTGATTTACAGATCAAATTTCACTCTTATAATATATTTTTATATTCGAATTATTCTTTCATGTTGTTTTCACAAGAGTGGAAGTAGAGAATTGAACTGAAATTGACACAATTTTATTTTTCGTTCATAATTTTTTGATACTGCCGTTTTAAACGCGAATAAATTATTCATATTACATCGATTATTTATATAGTGGATAGAAAAAAGGTTATTAAATATCTTATGTTGATAAACATATTATGTGATAAACACACAATCCACTTCATAAGTACATATATGCGTCATTTGATAGAAAATGATTAAAGTGATGTACGCGTGCGAAACATAATTTTATGCTTTGCATCAATTTTATCCAAAATTAGCTATACAATCGTATCCTTATATTATCATTTCAGTCTTCCTGAAAGATACAGCAGAAGTCACATTTGATAAATGAGACATAATATTGTGAAACGTCAATACTATAACTTTTGCGTGTTATTTATCTATGTTTTACTTTGACTTTTCTCTTTTGATAAATTATGGAAGGTTAGTATATAATACAAAATATTTTTATCAACTCTTATTGTGTCTGAATTAAGAGTTCGACAAGAAAGGCATAGAATGTCAGACGAACATAAATATACTTGAAATGGTAAACGTTCGGTGACGACATCAATGATATCATTGAACGACCTCGGAATCCACTACAGCAAACATTATGTCAGTTTCACTCTATACAGACTCCAATTTACTACGAGTGTAGTGAATGAGTAATCCAGTCAGTTTCTATAGAATAAACTCAATCCGTAGTTGTGTAACGGGAGCTGCAGCACCTGCGAGAGGCGCCGTATTTACATAAAGTTAAGTCTACGGCGTAACGTTGCACTCTCGTTTCATAATAAGTGACTTGTACGCAATATTCTCTGTCGATGCGTGCCACGATTCGACTTTAATCAGTTTTACTTTGAAAATTGGTCAACCGTTATCAATGATACTTCTTGAAAACGAGGAGGCGACCTCATAACCTTCTTAAATGCGCCTCGGTATTACACCGTCATTGTAATACTTGTATCGTAAGTTAGTGGTTGACAAAATGCTGCGATAATGTTATCTATAGTCGACTATGCACTTTGAAGTGCGCATCGCGCATAATAACTCTATTCACTCATAAATAAACAATGTGGACGGACAATTCTATAGTATTGTGCACTTTTTTACGAAATTCAAGATATTTTTTGAGGATTTCAAAGCTGTTACAGCTACAAAAAAATCTAATATATTTATCCCATTCTATTAATAAATAAAAGCGTGAGTCTAAAAAGATTATCGAGCACAAATTTTGCGTTTAGACGTTCGATTTTTAATCGAGGTTACGCATCTTGTTTTTTTTTTAAGTCCATTGACCATTGATGGAAATAGATTGCGTTTCTGATGCGTCACGAACATACGAATGACACTTTTTTTGCATAAAATGCTCAAAAACATGCAATCTATTGGAACCTTTTGCACAAGCAATTGTACTACACTTTTATGTTTGTATATTTTGTCGAATTTTTTTCTATTATTTTATATATGATATACATATATATGTATACATACGAATAATAAATATATGCATAATACTTAAATATGTCTCATAGAGAACTATTATGCTAATGCAAAGTAAAATTTGAAAAAAAGAAAGGTGGAAAATAATCGTAACGCGAGAGACGCGAGAGACTGAATGAGGAAGAAAAAACTATGCCGAAGTCACGGAGTTGCTCCGAGTGCAACAGCAACAATAAACCGTTCCAGCCGTGAGGATAACATAAAGGAAACATAGTATATCGCGCGCATGGATACTAATAACACAGACACACGAAACAGGTTTGCTGAGAAGAATGGTCAGGTCTCGTAGTCGCAGTACGAAAAGGTAGTAGGAGGAACCACGAAGAGAAGAGTCGGTCGGTTTCCACCGCAACCCCCGCTAAAAGGGAGAAGAGACCGAGATGCCAGATCCGAGCGGTTTTTCAGGGTACCTTGAAGGGGAAGGGGGATAAAAGCTGCAGAGGCCGGAGGGGAGAGGGGCACGATGATGCAGACGGTGGTTTGAAAGGAAATGAGCGCGGGTGATGCAGGCATGGGTGCGGATTGCAGTGAAGGGGATGGTCTCTGTCGACGAAGAGGGATAAAAAGAACGGAGAGACATAAGGGTCGGGGAATGATGTTCCGAGGATCTATGCAATCAGCGACGGAGGCCGATTGTTTGGCGCCTGGGCGCAACGATTCGTACATACGTTACTGTCTCCGCCTTTTCGCACGTTACCGGTGCGATGCGCAACTCTCGGCGAATGCCGCTGACGATTATGCACTCGCTTCTCCGTCGCCAGATAATTAGGAGTTAATTAACTAATGGCCCTTTATGCGCGTACCGTTCTTACCCACGATACACTGCGCGCCCGCTCTCTTTCTCTTTTCCTCTCTTTCATTTTTCTTTTCACTCTCTCCTTCTTCCGTACGTTGCTATTCCTCATTCTCCGCTACACCTCGCTTTCACCGACGCATCCTTTCCTCGCTGATGCACCCACCGCGCTCGTCTCGTCATTTTCCAATTTCCCTCGCTGGCGCTACCACCCTTTGTGCTTCTTAGACACGGTGAAGCGTTTGAATGCAACCACCAGTCCCGCTGTGGTTCTTGCCTCATTTTTGTCTCTCCTCCAGGTTTGATATGCTGCAATGGTGCTATATGCTGCCGTGACGTAACGGAAGAAAAGAAAAATCGGTTTTTGGCTTTCACGAGTCTTCTGTCAAATTGTTATGCGCGAACTTATACATATAAAAAAGAAGATATTAGAAGGCATTGAAATGTCAACGTTATACTAATACAAAAAACTTCAAAAGTCGTATTTTATTCGTGGCGTTATGCCATAGAGTCAATGACACTTACCAAACTGAGACTTGTCTTTATCAACGTGTTTGATCTCATACATGATTAATCTTATCTGAATAACTGATAATAAATACAGTTTTTAAATGATAAATCTATCTTATTTCAAATATGACAACTATTATCTTTACAAATATTTAGAATTTATAAGTTTGAATTAATTTAAAAATTAAACATTATATATATATATAACATTTGAAAATTAAATATCTGAAAATTTAATATCTGAAGAAATGCTTTAAAATTCTCAATTCCCTTAAAAAAGATAAATCAATCCTCTCGTTGCTTTCTCATTAGTATCATTCCATTTTTTTTCCAACAACTCTATTGTAACGTGTCCCTTTTGCACGTACATACGCACACTAATGCTTGTAGATGCATTTGGGAATTAAGTGAGGTACATGTATAATGTGACTCGCATATGAAGGTTTAAGAATTTTTTTTCGTCGACGACATGAAATCCTTTGTGAAACAAGTTCGAAGTATGTTTCGCATTCGCGCCTTTAATGAATAACAGATGACAATCGATCCCATCGAGATTTCAACATTGGAGTTTCTAATTATGAAATTGCTAATGGAAGGATTCTATCATTTACTTATCATTCTCATCATCCGTGATACAGACGAGGCGATGCAACAGTATGCTCAATCCGCATGGAGTTAATTCTTTCATTTCAAGTTTTATTAAAAATAAATGATGATTAATGTAGTGTTGTTAGATAAATCAGTCTTTTTTATTAAATAAGAATATTTTTCCTTCGTATTGCTCGCCTTTCAGATTTTTAATTATTTTACATTATTTCAGATAGGTATCATTCCATTAACATTATATAATATTAACATAAAATATTTTTTCATCATTCTTTTTGAATAATAAATATGCATGTCTACTAATTTCTTGCAGCGATCATCTTTGCGGCAAAGGGAAACGATATTCTAATACAAATACCACATTATCGTAGAAACATAAAATTTAATATGGAAAGCGTGACTAGTTTCGTTGCGGTGTACCGCCTTTTATGTTACACCGAGACGCGCGCGTTAACATTCATCTTGTGTTGCAGCCGAGAGGAAGACATCCTTAGGCAAAGATTGGCACGGTTCGTGTTTACGCTGCGAGAAATGCAATAAGACCTTAACACCCGGGGGTCATGCCGAGCACGAAGGGAAACCCTACTGCAATCACCCTTGCTATTCAGCCCTGTTCGGTCCAGGAGGTAAATGGAAATTTTCGTCTCGGTTCGAGCGATACGCTTCGTTTCCTCTAAAACTGTTTCATATTCAAAACCCTTCGTAGAACATCGTCGTTCTGCATTTAATATATTAAATTAATGTACATCTTCCTTATTCCATCCATTTATGTGCGTATCTCATTGCTCTTTATACTATTTTCAAATTAAGTAATATTTACTGCACTTCTAATATTAAAGATTTGCGTAATGAAATGATCGCTGTGATTGCAGGTTTCGGACGAGGCGGTGCTGAAAGTTACGTTTATAATAAATGAAGCATAAATGTAAAAGCAATAATGTGTGTGTTTACTTCATTATATCTAACGATAAGACAATTGTACAATTTCGAATATAAGGAGCAGTTGGACATTTAAATATAAAATAACATTCATTCTGGTTATTTATGTATACGTGAATATCTATTTTTTACAAGATGTTTCAGGAATGTATATGTTATTGAACATAATAACGATATTATATAAAAAGGAAAATAATTACATTTTATCTGTATCGATTTTCACCCACGTCTAATTGATCTAGTAATTAATCTCTATAGAATGGAGATAACACTAATTATACACTCTATTGTATATGATATCATACCTGCATAACGCCGATAAGGGAGAAATGCACATTCACGACTAGAGATGCATTGCCATTAGTACAGTGCTTTAATAAACAAAGAATTTTTATATAAAAATATAAATGATATAACGCAATATTTTTTTCTCTGTTTTTCATGATCTATTAAAGCTATGTTTTTTCCTTTAATTATATTAATTATTGATTTTTTTTCTCTTTAGTGTCTACATAAGAGTGTATTTTATTCGAAACAGATGTCGCTAAACGCACGTTTTCATGAATTATCAATAAACTTTTTGCTGTAACTTCGTTTTATATAGTATCGATTTTGATATGAATAAAAACGAAGTATTTTTATATTGTATTATATTCACAAAAAAAAAGATAGCTTTAATGTTTTCGCTTTTAATAGCTTTATTCACTTTTATTTATTTCAGCAAGTTTATTTGTGTTTTCATGTTCATTATATTTACAACTCCATATAACAAAATTGATAGTAGTGATATAATTTATAATTGTATCTTTAGTTTTTATTTTTTGTAATACATATGCAATATAGCAGGGCGGGAATAATTTTCTTTAGATTTTTCAATATTTAGATGACTTGTGAAAAGGAGAAATATTAAATTTTTAAAGATATTTTTTCCTTGTAATTATTTTTGAAAATATTTTTGCAGATTGCTTATATTTGGTCTCTTCAACAATTAATTGAATGTTACATTTAAAAATATTATTTATAGTACGTGGAAAATTTAATTATAGGGTATTAGATGTTGAAATAAATTTCATATATAAACCTCATATTTATTTAAAAAGGATGTACAGAGTTTTGTTTGCAAGTATCAACAGCGAGACTCGGCAAGAGCGGCGCACGGAACAAGAATATCACACGGAACAAATAAAATAAAATGAGATAGTCATGTGTGCTCGATTAAAAATGCGCGGCTGCGGCGTTCGAGTCGAAGTCTCCGATTAGCAAATACATAATTCGCACAAACGAATTCGCAATTCCGCTTGTAGCTCGAATGCCGCACACAGTCGTTTTTCTCTTCGTATTTTCTATATTCAATTCCGTATTACAATTGTTTTTGTTCTTCATCAGCTTTTCCTCCTAATGGATACTATAAAACGTTTATGCAATATTGCTCTCTCAACGGATTCTTTGGCAAAACTTATTACACATAGGTCATCATTACAATTAATAAATAATAAACGTATTAAATAATATAATGATGATAATGATAATAATAAAATATAATAATAATGATAAAATAATGAAAATAGTGAAAATAGCAAATAGAATAATAATTAATAATCAGCGTCATTATGATAATAGCGATAAAGTAACAATAAGTAGGCAAAAAAATCGTGCCGAACATCGGATACAATGATCCAGCCGATGTTTGGCCAATTGAAATTCAAATATATCTCGTGCATACACACGCTGAATTATTCCTTGAACTTTTTCTTGATAAAGTGTGGCTTTCATTTAGCAATGCCGAGCCGATAAAATTGTTACTGGGATTACAGCAAATAAAAATCTGGCGTTTCAATGTTTTTTAGCGTCTGCGTTTTTCCTTTCTGCAGGGTTTTATTGTGCTGTCGTGGCACATTATAATTGCAAGCAATAGATATAATTACGATTTGATTAGCAATTTAAAGATGTCAGTTGCAATCTCGTTAACTTTATGATAAATCGAATTAAAGTGCAAATTGCAAAAGAGCGTAACACAGACAACAGAGATAAAATGATTTTTGCGATAAAAATAATAAAGTTTAATTATTTGATAAAAGGCTATCGACACGGACGGAACATCGCGCGAGAGGTTCAGAAATTTTATCGATTGACTGGGATCAATAATAATTTCGATTGTGCGAGCACGCTTTGGATCGACACTAATGAATTGAAAGAATGTTTTATATTCGTCATTTAATTTACTGTTTTATTTATTTCAATATGCAATATTTGGTTTACTAGCGCATCTCTTTCGAATGTGACTAGAAATTGTCGGATTAGGTAGAATTGTCAAATAATTTTCAATCTACAAAATTATCCAACAAGCTGAGTAAATTCGAGACGCATGAAATTTGTAGCGCGTGCCGCTAAGGCATTAATGATTAACACGATAATTAAATCAAAGACCGCGCGTGCGCTTGCGAACGTAATTTCTCATTAAAAAATCTCTGACGCCCAGCGCTAATTGCGCCTTCGTGATAATCTTCTCCCGCGCGTTCCGCCCGACGACGAACGGGAACTAGTACGACTTCCGTTGCAAAGCGGAAGCGTAGCGAATGCGTCGAACGGAACGGGAGAACGAGCGTGATCGTCGGGCTGTCGAGGAAGTGTCCACGCGCCGACTTGCGCTAATTACCACGAATAAGCAAGAAAGTCCTCCGTACAATAGCGATCGGTATCTCGACATAATTCGCGGTTAGCACGTACTTACCTTAGCAAAATTAAAATGATTTTTTTTAAATATCAATTCTTTAAATTTTTTTAGTAATAAGTTATCTTTGAAAATAATTATCTCCTTTTTTTCAATTTTTATGTCGATCCTACACGCCGCTCGCGACTACGCATTACTTATCCGTGTGAAGAGGCCGCTCTCAAAACCGGCGCAAAAGTTTCACGCTTTTTTGCCGCAACTGCGCGACGTGCTCGTTCGTTCGACGATCCGTATGATGTATATGTCTTATGTCGGTGCGTGCTGCGTGCGTGCGTATGTACGCGTGTGTACGTGCATGTGTTGAGTTTACTCGCGCGTGTGTATATGGTCTTTGGTTTCTACAAAAAATATATATAATATCCTTAACAGTAGTGATCATTACAGTCGACTCCTGATTTAAAAATCTCAAACTTATCGTGTTATTCTCTACGATATTCTTAAAGGGGTGAGGGGTCGTCGTGCCTACAGGAGAGAAAAACGTGCCGTTGGGGCGCTTGACTTTGTTTACACGAATCATATGTATAATATATATATATATATATTTATTCTTATTTATATATGTTCAATTTATATATATTTACATGATCGGCGACTATGTGTGCCACGCGAGCGCGCGCTCGCGAGGGCGGTCACGACCACCGAATGGAAATTACACTAACTGAGGATCATTAAATTAAACTACCTACCACCGCGGCTCTCCAGCGCGGCGACGCTGTTTTCAACGCTTTCGAGCATTCGAGATTCACTCGCATCGCCACCATTAACAATTGACAAGTCAATCGGTCGATGATTCTTCGAATTACGATTAATAAATAAAACATAGAGGGGAACGTTCATACTGCGAAGAACAGTGGCAATACGAGGGAACTCTGTACGCCAATACTCTGACGTGACCGTCACTCGCGTCTAGCTCATTTTGCGCGGAATCACGTCGCGCGCTCGATTAGAACAAATTCCCAAGTCCTGTCATTCATCTTGAACGCAATGGAATTTAAAACTCCGAGTACAGCTAATTCTAGATTCGTTTTAACATTCCTCATCGCGAGCCATCCTAATCTTCTTCTTCTTCTTCTTCTTCGGTACATTTAATCTTCCCTGTAGATTCACCGATATCTTTCGCACTCCGAATTTTCCATCGCGCATTCCCAAGGGAGTTAAAAGGAGATCATTGCTTAAAGTCGAGATGTCTCTTCGTGATATGGCGTCCGTTGTCGCAGCTCACTGTCTCTCCGCTGACCATAGGGGAACGTTCGGTCGAGACTCCCGTCGTGTGATTCGATCATCAAGCCAGGTAAAGGTCCGTCGGTGTGGCGGAGGTGTGGTCCGGTTTCGTGCAGGCGCTTCCGGTCGGTGAGGCCGCGCTGGCCCCGCTGCTGGCCCTGGTAGCTGCCAGAGGCGAACGACTGGCCACGTCGGCGCTGCTTTCCGGACCACCGCTGGTACAACCGCTGCCGCCCTGCTGCGATGTATGAGTGGACGTGTCTCCGTTGCAATAGTAGTACGTGGAGTCTAGAACGAGAAGCGATTACGTTCATCACGCATAGAATTTGTGGGTTTCCCTATACCTGGGTATACAATACCCTATTTAACATTTTGCAGGCTCAATTAATGTCGTATCCGCGAAAGAAATATATTGCTTGCGTCGCTCCTATACATTTTACGTTTTACGCGCAATTTGTAACGTTGCATATTCAGCCGCATTTCCGCCGCAAACAACTTTTCCCATTCTGTTTATATATCATGCATATCGTATCGCGTAGAATTAAGATGGAATAAATTTCCGCGATGCGCCTATCTAATTTTCGCGTTTAATTATAGCGTTCACGTAACGCTCGCGTGGAATATTAAGAACGAGGAGAAATAAGTTGAGCGTGGGCGGGGAGAGCGCGTTGCGATATCGCAAACGGATCTATATTACGTGTTACGAGGTACGGGTTAGCAGCGTATCGCGTGTCCGATAAGAAAAGAAAAAGAAGTTTATTATTCTATTCGTATCTGCACGCGCGATGCGCGCTCTCTTCTGTGCTTGCACCACGAGGTATCGCGATCTCCTCCTAATGCCGTCAATCTTGTACGTTATGAAGGATAGGCGTTTGAATCGGGATTATATTAGAACCGGACGGAGAACGCGCGACGTGGCTTCGATGGGGAACTAGTTCGATGTTATCTGATATGAATCGAATTGCAGCTCACGTTAACGAGGAACGAAGCTAGGAAGTTCTATTTAGATCGCGAGGTATTGTGTCCGCGTGCGCGGTTACATGAGCGTAACTAGAAATAAAGTTTTTGCTTAGGCCCGTATCTTCGTATATCGCGTACATGTAATTTCTACGGGATAAAGAATACGGCTGCCTTTCACGCGTTTATTACTTCGAACAAGTTGATTGTGTAACGGCCGGCTGACCACTTCTCTTTCTAGCATCGTTATCAACCTGGCGTTACCGAAATATCGGCCTATTTTCCTAGTATTTTCATATTTCGATAACCCTAATCTAATCGGTACTCATACTCACTGTTTACTTACTGAGCAACCCGCTTGTCGCTGCTCCATAACCATAGCCGCTGTACGGTGCACTTGAATATTGGGAATACGCAGCGCTATACGCGTAGTCGCCACCACCTAAACAAAAGTCGACGATAAGCTGATTAGCGTGAGTTGACAGTGTTGACGGTTCTAAAATTAACACATTATGTTAATGTCTGAATTAATTTTCGAAACTGGTCTTGCAAGTAGACTTGCGCGAAAGTGCACTAAGGAATAAATTAGATTCTCGCGTACAATTTAACTTTGTAGGCTAGAAACATGTGAGCTTGTAATAATACTTGTTGTTATTCAATCGAAATAGTGGTTATTGTTATAATTGATGCCAAACAATATAACTGCAGCAATTCTATTTTTAAAAAACAAAATATTGATATAATAAAGTAAATATTTACTTTTATATATATATATATATATAAAGTAGCACACAAGAAAAGATTTATTATTTTAATTACATATGTCGATTAAGAATAATATTATCACAGTATCCTTCATTGATATATGATTTTCTCCAATGGATAAAACCCACTCTTCCGACAAAACTGTCGTGGCTCATCGCCCCGAACTGGTAAATCAGCGCTCCTCAGACAGAGCTCTGACTTACCCTCTGAACGTACCGCCGAGCTCGATTCAACCCCCGAAGGGTATACGGGCGCGCTTGTCCTTGACGAACGGTTAAGCAAGCGGTTTTTGGTTGTACTCACCGGTGGCGTAGTGTCCGAAACTTGGAAGCATCGTCGAGTACGGCGGTATCGCAGAGGCTACCTGGGGCTGAGAAACTGGCGGCTGCAAGACCGTCAGTCCGGGATCCCCTCCGGGGGTGTTGGGGGCCGCGGGGGTGGCGTTTGTCTCGTTCTGCAACGAAATCGGGGGACTTTGCTCGCCCCCACCGGCCCCCACCCCGACATACGATACTGCGACGGTACTGCTCTCTGCTATGGCCATGCACAACACAACACAACATTCGAATCAAGCACTAGCTAACGATCAGCGCCTTACGTCTAAAGCTTAATTAAACTGTTTAGGTGAGGATCGGGAAAAAAATTGGGATTTGGAATCGTTTTATTAATTGCTTTGGAATTACACCTTTCATGAATACAGATATTTTTTTTTTAAACCTTTCATTCCTTTTACTTCTTCATGATTCTCAAGTTAATATGTAAATGACATTTTAAAAAATTAACAGAAATATTAGTTTACTAACAATAAGAAACAAGATTTTATACGGACAAGAATTAAAAATGTACTATGTTTCCATATTCCAATGTTTCCATTTGATTTAAACGTAAAATACAATTAAAAAAGATAAAAAATAAGAAAGAAAAAGAATATTTTTGCGTTAAAACATTTGCAATATGTGCCTTATTATACATTTTTTTATTCATTAGGAAATGTAAATGGTTATCATGGACAATAAAGGATTTTTCTGGAGAACAGGAGATACCGCATTTAATTTCGCGGTAAGTTAATACCATAAACACTCGACGTGGTAGTACACATTTAACATGTGGACATATTAGTTGGACACGCGCATATCTGAAAGAGGCTTAATAAAACCTTATGCTCAGCGAAACAGATGTACATGACTCGGCGCGACCGTAAGAGAACGTAAAGAGGTGGCGAACTCACCGGTGGTGTGGTAAGGAGACATGTTAGCCCCGTCCAATGTTTGGCTCAATTTTAGTTCTTGCATCGTCAGTGGCGCGAGCGGCGTCAAAGTACCACCTGCTATTAAGGGATCCCCATTTTTCCGTTATTGCGGTTCTCGTATCGTCGACGGCCAATCAAGGCGGAACGTTAAAAGGTTTCATCGCGGAGAAAGTCCGTATATTTTCAGGTCGAAGATGCGTTACTTATAAAAATCATGGTGAAGGAAAGAACATTTACCGCAGCTAATTTCTTCGCGTCTACAAATGTAATATAAAAGTCCAAGTACACCCACGTATACCCTTGACCGAGCACTTTAATCGCGATACTGCTACATATTAACGAGTGCAGTAAGCCATGCGATTGCGAGTTGGACCGTTTATGTTATTCTTCAAAAATACTTTGATCCGGAGCGAAGATTCTCGATTGAATTTCATGAGATGAAGCCGCCGTTACACGCCTCGCTTCGTCCATTCCGAAAAGCACCGATCGGGAGAATTCGCAGCGCGACGCGGCGTGACCGAGTTGCTCGCAACACGTGCCACCGGAGAAAGTTCCGTTCATGTGTTGTGCACCACGTTTGGCGCAGTTATATACTTCTCAATACTTCGTATCCATCTATATACGTTCCGCCGCTGATCGACCGCCTTTAACGGCGTAAGAAAAGTAGAGAGCGAAATGAAAAGTGGAAGAATGAAAGAAAAAGAGCGTGATAGAATGAATGAATATATATATATGTACGTATAGATGTATATGGGGAGGATACAGGTAAAAAGATCCGCGAACAAGAGATTTCGGCGGTACCATTTAGATAAAAAGAGAGACACAAGTGTATAGACCAAGAGAGAGAGGAGAAAGAGAAGAAAGAAAAAGATGCTGGTGAGAGAAGTGAGAGCGGTATTCCCCAAAGCTGAAAACGCCGAACCACCGTGTGGAGCCTTCCGCCACCTCTTCTACCGCTGCTCAGCACAGCTCATGCATTATTAAAGCCATGTATTTAGCCGATATGGGTATGCAAAGCAAGACGTAAGCCGCAATAATAAGCGTACTGAGAGGAAACGAGAGAGGGAGGGAGAGAAGAAAAGAGAGAGAGAGAGAGAGAGAGACAAAGAGAAAGAAAGAGATAGAGAGATAGAAAGAGGTCTTCGGTGCAATGAGAGAGTAGAAGGATAGGAAACGAAGGTGGAGGAACTTGGTGCACGGCATTACGTGCAAGAGGTTGTGGTATACACACTATCTGGGATTTCCGTGCGAGGGGAGGAACGGAGCACAGAGAAAGAGACAGAGGACCATGCTTGACGGGGCTGAGGGGGTGTTGGAAAATGTCGGAGGGTGCCGGAGGGTGAAAAGAGAGGGAACAAGCACGCTCACCTATGGTGCCCCCTATGGGCGGGGTGTAGAGATGAGGCGTTTGCGCTTGCGTCATCGTACTGATGGTGCCCAGGGAGTCGTACAGCTCGGCGGAGGTGGCAATAGCGTTCCCGGGGAATCCACTGTGTTCGTAATAACCGCCGCCAGTGCCGCCGCCGCCACCACCGCCACTACCACCATTTCCACCACCGCCGTTTCCACCGCCGTTTCCACCGCCGTTCGTACCACCGGTCGTACCGCCGCCTCCACCGCCACCAAGCTCGCTCAGGAGCTTGTGCTCGTCCTTGATGCTCCATTTACTCGACCACAGCTGCAACATAGACCAGCGAAACCTAAAGTCGAAGTTCGCGAGTTTGAGGGACATCCGAGAACAAGCGCCAAGATTGACTTGAATGTTGTAGCTCGGCCCACTCGGTCCCCTGATTACTGCAAGTGCTGGCCGAGAGTTACGCGGGTATTCTATGAAACTTGGCTTGCTTTTGATTGATTAGGGCATTTTAATGGAGATGTATACTATCGGACCTGATTCACGCCTGAGATTTTAACCTCGCTCAATTCCAATTACCTATACGATAATATAGACAGTCTATTATGCAATTGAATACATTTTAATAAATAAATTACTCTCGAAACATTCTGCTATTTAAAAAGTTTCTTCTCGATACTTACGTTTGAATACAACTGATCGCCATTGTAGTTGTTCCTTTGCCTTTTCAAATCGTTGTCGGCGTGGTCATTCAGGTCGCGATTATCATCTGTAAAAATTTAAAGAACTGTTAGAAGCAGAATTCTTTTTTTAATTTGTGGCAATATATCACGAATGTGTATCGTCATTCAATATTAATTGCCAGTAGTGATTCTAATATTAGAACAACGTGCAGAATGCATGAATGTTATTTCCATCGGTGTGTATCTCGAATTTGATAATTTTGAAACGCGAGGGAAAATGGATCGGCGACGAACTGACGGTACATCAACCGGTGCAATCGCACGTATAGTCATCCACCCACACGCAGATCGGGTCCTATACGTGTCTGGTCTCTCGTATTACCCACGAATCAAGACACAAATTAAACGTGGCCGGCCGAAACTAAATTGAATCTGTCGAGAGCAGGATGCGCGGCGCGGTATGGCTCGCGCGCGTAGACGGCGTATGGCATTGATAGATAGAGAAACAATTTCGATTCTATTATATGTCTTTATTATCTCCCGGTCGTCCCGGCGGTTTAATATAGGAACAGGCACGTGGGACGAGTGTCGTTATTCCGATGCTGAGGGTGTGGGCATCGCGAACCCTTGCCGGGGATGAGGTCGTGAACGGAACCGACCGGTGAGAGATATAGGGATGGACGACGAAAAAGGGGGCAAGAGGGACAACAGAGTACGGACGTAACGTCGTTGGTGGGGGTAGATAGTCCAACGTTCTGGGGTATCTCGAATAATTAAATGACCATCCGAGGGTGGGACGGGTGGAGTACGCCTAGCATAGGGCTCGTTAAACCTCCCTGTCAAGTTGTGATTGTCCGGCCGGTCGAGAGCGACGATCCCGACCATTCGAGCGGCAGGGTTTGTTCCTGGACCGCTATAAAACCCTCGTTTCAAACACCGGCGGCGGTAGTGCCCCGTGCGCTCTCTTTCCGCTCTCGGTCCCACTTGAATTTTACGATTTGATCGGCCGAGTTAATCGCGGCCGCGCTATGCCGCGGTATACAGACGCGTACCGCGTTACGATATAGTTTTACTGGAATTTAGAGCACTTCCTGGGGATATCGCAGTTCCGCCTTGTAATCGAGATTGCACGTGAATCGAATTCGAGCAATGAGTTAGTAAAACAAACATGATCTAAAAGTTTTATTGTATTTTACGTTTTTCTTCTTTTTTTTTTTAATCTTTTGGGTGTATATTAATGTCGAAAAGTTAATCAAGTCACATTCAATGAAGTGTACTTTTATGCAAACCAAAGTTTGCAGACTTCGAGAAGTCGAAATCATAGCCGGTCCTCGACAGATTTGACAACGAATGAATTATGTCGCGCGGAAGGAAGGTCAGCGCGTCCCCCGAAAAAGAGCAGTAAATCGAATAACTCGATTGATGCTCAAGAGGGCAAAGCACGCGCTTGTACGAGCGAGCGAACGAGCGAGCGGGCGAACGTTCTCTCGATCGCGTTATTCGAAAGCAATTGAGTCAATGTTAAGCAATACAATACACGGGTAATAATGGACTTTGGGGCGAATCTGGCCCCGCGGTGTATCCCCTACGTCCAGGGGATACATAGGGTGGGACACGCCGGGCTCTGGGATTCTGCATGGGGTCAGAAGCGCGCAGATGTAACGCGACAACAAACAGCCCCGATAGATTGCAATGTTTCCCTCGAGAGGTCGTTCGTAAATTCGTAATAAGCTCCGGGATCTTTCGGTATGTCTTGGCTCGCTCGTCGAAGATATAAATAATAGCGCGCTGGGACCGCTTCGATTTTTCTCGATCGACGAGTCTCAAATTGTAGGAACATCGGAATTCGTAAACTCGATACGTTATAAAGATTGATAAATAATGTCTCGCAACAGACGCTGTACCATGCGTGAGCTCTGATTTGATAACTCATAGGACCTTTGATTGTAATTTTTAATATCTGACTATCGAATTATGTATTCTGCCAAATAGAAGGTTGATGATTTTGTCTCTGGATTGTACCATTCCGGACTTTAAAATCACGACACAAGTTTTCATAGTGTCTTCATTGTATTCTCTTATTGTACCAAATTGTAATGTAATGCTCTATACTTGATTTTGTTTATTTTTTTAGATCACTGAAGATGACCAAAATTATGGTCGAAACGTTTGTTACTTATTATCATTAATATTAATATTCATATACAAATTTTACACTACTATCCTACTATCCTATATCGGCTTACATTGGCATACATTTCTAATTTATTTCTATTGAAGCCTTATTATTTTATATATATTGTGTTCATAAAAATTCCTTTCACTTTTAATGTATAGCGTTCATATTCAGTTAAAATAATTAACTAAAACACGAGGATCCTTCGAGTCACGTCCGATCTAGCTGCTGCAAAACAACAGCGTTTTCATCGCTGGAAAAGTTGAAAGAGGATCGATCGCGTTTTATAACACAGTTTTTCCCGTGAGCCTCTCTGGTCAGAGGATTTCATTAAATTTGAGTACTTGTGGCTAGGTTAACGCGACGCTCGGTCGATTTTTACATTCTGACGCACAGCACCGGAGGAACGTTCGAAACGATCGCCGTGCTCGCTCGTTGAAATTCCAGGCGGTTAGGAGGTACGCGTATACACGTACGTACACGCTGATGATCTCCCCGGAGGATAGGGAAGCTAATGTGTCGTCGGGGCCGAGATAGAGAGGAAGCCGTCTGTGGTCTCTGTCTCTCTGTGAAGTTTATAATCTAATACGTATACCTACCCTCTCGGCGCGAGCGCACCGCTCGCAAAACATTGAGTGCTCTCACCGCGGACGCGACCACTTTTGCGGCCGCGTATCGCCGCTCTCATAATCCGATTATATTGAATTACCCATGTACCTATCGGCACACTGCGCGCCGCGTTCCCGCGTATGAATCGATATACCTCGCCGCGAAACGCGCGCTCGCGGAATTTTGATCGAGCTCACGCGCGCGGTTTTCCTCGCTGCATCGCATCGCGCAACGCTGCGGCCTGCTCGTGTACGTACCACGGAATAAAAAAAACACAGCTCTTCCGCGGAATCACGACGATCGAATTAATCTAATCGTTTTCCCGATGACACGGGTAGTACATTAGAGAATTATTTTCGTTACTTTAACGTCTCGCAGGACGCGAGATTATTTCGCAACTCGTAAAATGAGCGGCGAATCTCCGCGAGGGGTTTTCGCGACGCAATCGGCACAGAAAACCTCTTGCCGGAGCCAAAGCGCCGTTGTCGGTCACGTGTACGCGGCACGTGTCATGAATATTTCGGTCCACGTTATTCACGCAATGACAGCAGAATGAATCGCAACACGTGCTCGGTGACGTTTGACTGATAACCTTGCGGTGTATGTGGCTAATCTTGGTTCGCTCGGGGCAATGAGTGCTCCAAGTGACTCGATCATTCGCAAACGAGCGCGCACGACTAGAAAATGTATGGCTCAAAACATATGTCCTAATAGACAAATTTCTACATCGGGCGTCCGTACGCAAACAATATCGTCATATTTTATTTTTATCATCTATCCTAACCATACATTGCTCACTCAATATTATTGTGAGAAGTGTTACGTGATATAAATGAGAGTAAAAAAATCACTTGTAACAACAATGATTACATAAGCTGTAAATAGTGTAACTTTGTCTCTATATGTCCATTCAGTAAGCAATCGAATAAAATACAAGGGAGACTCGTTGACACAAGAGGCAAGTTGGCATTGCGTTATCTCTAAATTCTTTGGAATGGAATCTCACTCTAAAGAATGAAAATTGAACCAGTCTTGAAAAAAGAGTGGCTTAATTTTCAATCTTTAAGAGTGAGAGATTTTACTCTTCAGAGTGATAATTCACTCTAAAAGTTTTAGAGAGTTCCGTTTATTTACGGCGAAAGAAATAATGGAAAAGTTACCGCAAAATATCTCTTTTATAACATAAATATTTTTCCCTAAGTTTCATTTAAATCGAACAAATGTTACGATAAAAAAAGAAAAAAATCTAATTGAAGAGACAAGTACATCTTTTAGCGTTTCATAATTTCGTATTAATGTTCTTCGATTTGAGAAAATCTAAGTGATATATTGTAAGTTGAAAAAAGTTTTACTATATGATATATTATTCTGAATAATAACAACAACTTGTTATAATAAAACGATTAAAATCAGACATAGGGATGAGGTGCATTGACTAATATTTAAGAAAAGATTAGCTTGACTTGCTGTACCACTTTTGCAAACATTCAGTTGCAATTTAATTCTAGCAAATCATTTTGTATTTACTATTTCTATTTTAATATTTCTATGTTAAAGTAAGCTAAAATTATAGTAATTTATATTTGTTTTTCTACTACTACTAATAACATTTTGCTATTTGATTTACAAAATTACTTTAAATATAATCTCTCTCTCTCTGTACGAAGAAACATATAATATTATATCTACTATCTGTTTTTTATTTCTATTACGTTTTCATTAATTTAATATAAAGTTTATTACAGAAGCAACTTACATCATAATATGTATCAATTTATCTCACCTATCAAAACAAATTACTACAATGCAGCATATTATTCGTATTTCACTTATTACAAAGAAACTGTACAGAGTATTATATAAAGAATCATTCTTGGCACGAAAATATAGAGAAAGATTCTCTCTCTATTACTTTAGTACATTTTAATCATAATAATTAATTGTTTAAAAAAATCTAATGTCGAAATTATAAAAACTTTGCCAACGATCCCTAGTTTCCCCTAATTCACGAATTTTCGCAACTAAATAAGGCAAAAATTTGAATATTCAAGAGCGAGACAATAAAGACATACAAACGAGCACTGATGGTGTTTACGAAGTCATTGTATGTAGTACTAAGGTCTAATTACAAGTCTTTGCGAAATTGTTTAACTTCTTAAGAACTTATACAAGGAATTCATTGTCTATTCACGAACTAAATTGACTTATATTTTATGTCATGTTATCGAAACTGTAATGACGATATAATATTAATATTTAAAACTTACATCGCGTCTTTAATTTTTATAAGCGACTAATTTTTATAAATTACTGCATCTCGTACGATTCATTTTTGTACGAACAATTATTCAATCTCAAGTATTGCAACGTTATATGAAAATATGCTACTATTCAATTTATATACCTGCAATAGTAATAACATTTCTTCTTAACGCATGCTATCGCATCACGCTATTTCGCTTCGAGATTTCTGCAAGTTGCAATTCGATATCTCAACTACAGCGATCTCGTTGCTGATAATAAGCGTTGGATTCAGTATTGAATAATGTTACACGATGACAGAGCGTAATTGGTAAGTATAAGAAGATGCGAAGGAAGAAGCAAGGTCAGCAGCACGAGCGAAGAGAGTTGCGAGTGACTCACCGTCAACGCTGCGTTTTCTCTTAATGCTGTTACCATTGGGATCCTGATGGTGCGCCGGGATACCCAGGATGCCACTGATACTGTAGGCGTTGGGAGCGGTGGCAGCTGGATGACCTGCTGCCGTCGCAGGTGCATGTGCTATCACCGACACGGAACCGCCCGATCCTGGCTGGCCTTGCTGTTGACCTTGCTGCTGCTGCGCCTGCTGTTGCTGATGCGCGTGCTTCGCCTTCTCCGCCGCCTTGTTCCTCACGATCCTGCGAACAATAGGTCAGACATTGTATAACAAAACTGCCATGTCACCAAGAGACGTCTTGCTTCTCCTTTCTCTTTCTCAATTAAAAATTTGAATAAATCACATCGGCTGGTAATAAATCGCATCTTCGATAGCCGATTTGGATCTCATTGGAAACGCTTTCGGCAAAGTAGAAGTGTAGATCTGCGCTGCGCGCGCTGCGTATCTATTAATATACAGTGACTTCATAGTGCAACAATAGAGTGGCACAAAGTACCGATTGTTAATTCCAAGTCCGTTGAGCGCAGAGCGATTCGCGTTCGAGATTGATGATGAAGCTTGGCATTGTTACGAGACAAGATCTTCCTGTTGAGTACGCGCGGCACAGCGCAGCGGCTTGACTCTTGAACGATGATAAACGGAGATCAAGATATTGAACGATCGGTCACAAATCACACGATCGCTAATTCGGATTGCATGGTTTGTGAAATACACAAAAATTTGAGGGAAAATAATATGGTAAATCAAATACGGTATGTTATATCTCATTTTTCTAAAAGATACCGAAATATTTCTCCTAAAAGTGATCTTTCGTTTCTTCAACGAGTGTCTGTTACACTCAATGCGGAAGAGCAGAACGAGTTGCCACGACGAAAATAACGATTGTTCATTCCAATTCCATCACGGTCGATCATAAATCCTGACATCACCGCTTAGAGCATGAGGCGATGTCTGCTTGACTTTACCAGCGATAACCGACGGAGCCACCCTATACGGTGCTGATCCGCGGAGTCACGGGTTACACGATGATTAATTACGATTACGCGGGTCACTTCGCCAACGATCATTCTTCTCGACTCCGATGTATAACCTAGACCTACCTACCTACCGCGAGCATACACCTTTACTTGTACGAACGTGCCCGTCGTTGCACACGTATGTGAGGAGACGCGAATCGTTTCATTATTGTTACCTGACGTTGGGACCGTTGGCCGCTACCTTCGAATAGCGACCAGCGACGTGACTTTGCGGAACTTGGCCGCATCGTATCATAATCGCATCGAGGGAGAGCCGCCGCCGCGGATGTAACGGAGTGGCCATCTCGACTCTCCCTTTTCTCCCCCCGTCGAGTACGGGCGTATGCACTGGCTGCTTATTATCCGTGATATATTGCGCGTGCGGTTTCAATGGTCAGCCGCTCTCCCGACATCGGTATCAATTATCTCGGCGAATATTCACGGTGATGCGCTGTTAATCTCGTGCGTGCGACTCGCTGCGAAATGTCTCGCGTGAACTAAATCGCGCGCTTTGCAACACCAACGACCGGCCGCGCCTAGAGATCCCCAAGTAAGAGCTAAAAGAATAACAGTCAAGAAATGTCAAAAATGTATGGTTATTCTTTTCAAACTTACAGCTCTGATTCTTACGGTACGTCTTACAGTTACGGTAACGGAAAATATGTGCGGTGGCCCTAAGAAATTGAAACCTATTTGGAAACGTTTGGTTCGCCAACTATTTTTTAGGATCTACTTAAGACAGAATGAAATATTATGCACAAGAATGAAATATCCGAACATTTCATTCTAGCTTCAGCAGGTTCTGAAAAATATGACAGACTAATTAGAAGTTGTCTAAACGGTGTCGAATTTCTTGAAGATCTCTAGCCGCACCCTTTCGGCCTTGGATGGTTTAACGCTTTTCACGCAACAATCGATTTTTTATTTTTGTACATAGGCTGACAACGTCCTCATCAGAACGCGCGCATCCCAGTGACGAATCGGCGATGAGTCCGTTTTCCAAGAGGTTCGTCACTCAGAGATTTTTATGCGACGGTAGATACATGGACTTGGAATTGTAATATATTCTCGTATAAATGATCGATAATGGCGTCTAAATTTTCATGGATTTGCACTTTGGATTTCTCAGCAATACTCGTGATACAATTATCTTTCTTCTATTAACGAGAATACCAAAAAGGTTACTGAAAATGTAAATTTCCGCATAGAGTAATTCGCAAGGATAGTACACAACGTGTGCCACACACATACGCTTGGTCGTAGAACGTAGTGAACATCTACTCTTTTTCAACGATCATTCTTTTTCACCTCGTAATGCACTTTGGAGCGCGTCAGGTCAACGATTTCTCGCCGGGATGGGCCAGTACGTAATGGATCGACATTAAGTCCTTCGTTTCTGCCGTGGATGTGTTTGTGGGCTAGGTAATCGTGGGGGTGCGAGCAACGGCGATCAATCAGATGACACCTGTTGCCCAATCTCCCTCGTTCGTTCGCCACCTTCACCAATTCGCAACAATTAGCAGCGATCCTTATCAAGGTTAGACTCTAGGGTGGCCGAGGTACCAACGATCCTAAACCGACGAGTTATCGCGCGTCGCTCTCCACACATAGAAATTTCACACATGCAATGTAACTAATCACTCGTGTTTTCCGATAAACTAATTAATCTGATACCACTCATTACATTTATATATATTAATTAATTATCAATTAATTAACGCGATTCTCAAGCTTCTATTTTGAAAATATGTGTCTATTGAATATATTGACAAACAATCAAAAGATATTTATTATAAAGAAATATTTAAAAGCACAAGAAAAATATTTCTGCCGGAGAAGATTATAGCAGCCTGATAAAAACGTTGTCGTATTTGATCACTATAATATATAATCAACGATGCGTTATTATTTTTCCGTGGTGAAATACGAGAGGTATTTCGTGAATGATGAAAATCAGACGCGCGTGGCTTCCGCGAAACAGTACGTAACGACTTTACTCGCGCGGCATAATGAACGTAATCGACGATCTAATAAATGCAACGGCACCCGAGAAGTAATCCTTTTGCTACAACAGGTGCAGATTATATCGCGATACAGATGGTGCGAACCGTTGCGACACGGTACGCTTCGTTCGGCGAACGCGACCGAATGAACGAGAGCTTTCGCGTTAAAATTCATTGCGCACCCGGGCCTCGGCACTCTAATTAACGTAATCCTTTGCGAGCGTGCTCGTTATCGATGCATTGCTAAATATCAGCAGCCGGCTGGTAATTTTCTATGCCACTGACAGGGGATGGGGCAATTCACCAAAGACTAATCGAATAGTTGCGCAGTTTTGCGCAAGTAGATCGCGATGTTGTGTTATCATTTTCATGACGTTATGCACGAAATATTGATTCATAAACTATGAGTTAAGAAAAAGCAATTTCCAAAGATTTTTCTGAGACGAGAATGATTGGAGACACTTTGTTTACAATACGGAACAAGGATCCTTCAAGAAACTATAATTTTTGAAAGGGAAAGATTGTATATCGATTGTACGAAAACAAGGAATATCACTAAAGGGTAGTCTGAGGTAGAGAGAAAGAGAAAGAGAGGGAGTCTTTTATGGACAGAGGTTGCCGGGAAAATAGAGAAGCGAGTGGATGAGAACGAAGTTCGTACGACGTAACCCCAACATTTTCCTGACGCTACAATGTTTCTCCCTTCGTGCTTGATTCTGCGCTCTTGTTCTTCTCTTTCCCTTTTCTTTGTCTCTTTTCCTCTCTTTCCCCTACCATTCCGGTACTTCATCTAATCATTGAGTGCGCCCTTTCTTCTGTGCTTTTCCCCGTGGCGATTCTCGTTGCGATCTGCGGCGCGAGACGATGCGAGCTCGACGGTTTCCAACACAGATTTCACAACTTGTTTTACTTCTTCCATCTATATAATTAAGCTTCCATGCTTAAACCTGATAAATTGCTAACAGTGACTTTACAAGAAAGAAAATGGCATTTGGTACGTATTACGACATACAAATAATCACAATCTGTTTTTTATAACATCGCGTACTAATCGTTGAAATTTATACTTTTTTTATTTGATAATTAAACATCCATTGCAGTTGTTTCCGCTGTTTAAACCTTGGCTAAAGTCGCGTTCAATAGTTGTGCACCGTAAAGTTAGCTAACCAACTCGCATTTTGGCGCGAATTTGCGAGTTTGCCATTGGGGGTTGCAAGTCTGTTGCTGGAAAATCATGTGACGGCTTTCGTTCGTGTTTGAGAGTAAGAGGGAGAAGAAAGTCCCTCGATTCTTGACACGGCATGGACACAAGGAAGAGGATTTCCCGCGAATACGGTACGAAACGATGTTCTCCTTCGCTCTCACGGTTACGATGCCTAAGAGAAACCGGAGGTGGCGCCTCAGAGGAAGGCTTGGTAGAATTATGAGGGTAGAGCGTGTCGGGGGTGCCACGTGGGAAGAAGCTATGCCTCCCCTGGCGCCGTCAGATCGTTCCCCAACGGCCACTCCTGAACTAAACTGCTTCACTACCTACCCTGAAGTGCCGTCTCCCACCATTCCAAAGTCAAGCTTCCTTGTCGTTCGCTTTAAGTATGTGGATGTCGCAGCTGCTTAAGTCTCAGGATCGCGTGTACTTAGAAATTTAAGAACAAGAGGAATAAAACGAATTATTTATTTGCCGTTTTAAAACTACCTTTGTTTAAAACGCTAGAGAGAAGATGCAGATGGAAAATTACACAAAAAGAAAAGTTATAGTTTCTCTTCTATATGCAACGCTAGTTTCTATTTTTTATTTCGCATTTTTATAATTGCGTGAGCAGTAATTTTGAAAAATACGTATTTTTCATATAACGAAGCAACAGAGAGAATGTAAATCATCGAGGTTACTCGAGCGTGTCTGGCGTCTTCACGTCTCGAATAACGTGGTCGACAACGATGCTGAATAGTTTTTTTATTGATTGGAATTTATTTCTAACAAACCGATAGTAACTGCGGGAATATAATGGACGCGTCTGAACGCGTACAAGTATTACACGAGCTCCTATGATAGAAGTTCGTACCCCATCGTCCTCGCGATCCCGTCACGGCTAGGAAAATCGTAGGCAGCAACCACGAGCGACGTTCCGAGAAAGCCAGGAGATGAGTTCGGGTTCGTACCACAGCTCTGGAACCACAAACTTTAATGTCGACATTACTTTTATGCACGACTTTATGCCAAGTAT